GATATATTCGGTTTTAAATGCTTTTTTAAAGTTTACGATAAATAATAATCGTTCTAATTCATTTTTAATGTGGCCTTGAGTAGTCTTCTTTTTGTTAAACTTTATCAAGAAATATTTTCCACAAATTAAAACAAAAAGAAAAGTCCAGCAGTCTAAAAGTCTCAACTTAATTGAGTAAGAAGTTCTATTATTGGACAACAAAAGTTGTCTGAAAACTTTTTGGAGTGTTTATGACGAATGTCTCAAAAAAGATTTGAATATATTTGGAAACAATTCCAGCTTTGTTTTAAACACGAACATTAAAACTTGGTGTAAGTTTTAAATCGTGTATTTTATATAAAAGTGGAAATGCTAAGGCATTTTTCTACTATAAACTTGTGAGTTTTACGTATCGAACTTTTAGGACCACAATTCAACATATAACTTTTTTGATGTTCGTCATATCGCAAAACTCTGATTAAAAGTAGTTATTAGAATTAAAAGTAGTTATTAGAATTAAAAGTAGTTATTAGAATTAAAAGTAGTTATTAGAATTAAAAGTAGTTATTAGAATTAAAAGTAGTTATTAGAATTAAAAGTAGTTATTAGAATTAAAAGTAGTTATTAGAATTAAAAGTAGTTATTAGAATTAAAAGTAGTTATTAGAATTAAAAGTAGTTATTAGAATTAAAAGTAGTTATTAGAATTAAAAGTAGTTATTAGAATTATAGATTATCAAGTCATGAAATCATTTCATTAAAAAGTAGTTATTAGAATTAAAGATTATCAAGTCATGAAATCATTTCATTAAAAAGAATAATTTTTTATTTGCGTTTAGGAAAAATAGTTGTCTAATAAACCACTTTTAAATAACATCCCAAACTTCAATCATTAAATTGGTAATTTTATTTGTTGTGTGATTGGTAACTATTTGTCAATTTGATGTTAATATAGCAAAAATAATATTACCTTAAAATATACGCTTTAAACATAAAGCTTATAAACAAAACTTTATGTTAAATTAAACCCTTAAGTCATCCTCTAATGGATTAGAAAAGATCAGGACAAGTTAGGTTAGATTATGAAATCTGGCAATAAACAGCTTGTAAAAACTATGTAAATAACATATAAATAAAATTAAGAAAAAAGGTTTTTGGCTCTTCAACATTTGGGTTTTTCTAAACTAAAAAAATTGCGTCATTTTGGTTGCTTTTTTTACAAAGTCAACTTAAAAAAAATGTCTAATTTTTTTTTTTTTTTTAAATTTGCAAGCTCAAGTTGTAACTTGAGCTTGCAAATAAAAAAACTGTAACAAATTGACCGGGTATCTAACTTGTGCAATAACCGACATGCAATCTACCTGGCGATAACCAAATTTAGCGCGGCTTTAATGTACCGCGATTTTCTTTTTAAGTAACCATTATTACGTTGCATGAAGTGTTTTTGTAAGATGCGCATTTCTTGAAGTATTTTAAGTTAATTATTTGTTCAAATTCTCAGCTAGCCACACCCAGCCATAATTACGTCTTACCGTAACGTAATCATGCTTTTTAAAACCTTGCTATATATTTCGTCAAAGTAATTATAATATTGTAAAAAATTATTTCACTTTTTAAAAAAAATGCTAAATTATAACTAAATATAATTAGAGAAATAAATAATTTTAATAATAATAAACAAATAATTACAAGTAATAGATACGTTATCGCGTCTATATTGTTTAGTAACCAGGTTTCGTAATATATTACACGGATAGAAGATAATTAAGTTAATACCGTCATAGTTACCAATTGGTCAAACAAATTACTCACACAAATGAGGATATGAGAAAAAATAAATAAACGCTTTAATTGTAACATGATATAAATGATACTTTAGGCTACTTAAATCATTGAAGTGTTTTAGTATTTGAAATTTATTTAAATATAAATAGAAAGTAAAGTTATTATTGTGGTTTATTATATGATTTTAAGTACAGAATTCTTTAATTTTGGGAAGCCATTGCAGAACTCTTTAATTTTTGGAAGCCATTATAGAGTTCTTTATCTTTTAGAAGCCATTAGTTTATTCTTTTCATTCTGAATAAAGTACACTTTCAAAATCAGAATACGTTTAATTAATAAACTTAAAGTTGTTTTAAAAAGGTTTTTTTTCTTAATCCTTCAGGATATTCTAAAATGGTCCACGCTAGCATCGCAGTGAGACATTAAAAGTTTTCTAAATAAAAAATTTTTTATATCAATATGACGTTGTCAAATTTTTAAAATTTCAACATTTTCGTCATATTTCATGAATATGAGCTAATTTTCACAGCAAATATAGAATTGTACTTCTTTTCTTTTTTCAAACTAAAAGAGAAAAAAATCTGTAATAGAGGAATTTAAGAAATTGAAAAGAGGAAATAGAATTAAGGAAGGACAAAACGTATTTAAAAAACGGTTTGTGCTTTTTAAATTCATTTTTGAATTTGAAAATTTGCTATATATTTTGAATCTAATTTTACTGGAAAGCACAACTGATTAAATCGAGTTAAAAAAATAGCTGGATAGCAAGAATATACCCGCAGTGCATTTTTACAATTGCTACCAATTAAACCAAAATTTCGATTTTTAAATGAGGCGTAAAACTTGTGAGAATTCATGCCAATATCTCTTATTTAAAAATATAACTTAAAAATCTATTTTTAAATTTAGCAAAAATTGTCATTAAGTTTACAAGAAATTATTATTTAATTGACTAAAACTATTGCTTTGTCCATTAGAGTTATTTAATTAAATTATGCTAATGCAAAAATACAAATAAATTGATTATATAAAAAATAATAACATTAAGTTAAAAAAAATACGCATTGTCAAAAAATGCATCTAGCAATACATTTCTACTCAATTGTAAGGAGTCAAAAAGCTATATATATTTGTGTATGTGTGTATATATATATATATTATATATATATATATATATATATATATATATATATATATATATATATATATATATATATATATATATATATATATATATATATATATATATATATTGATAAATGTTGTATACTGATGGAAATACAACTCTTGTCGGTTTAAGAGTGATCAATATCTTTTTTTTAAAAAGATAGATCAAATTATATTAAAACAATTTAAAAGAAAAAAATACAACTTTATAATGGAACTAAAAGTTTCATGCCATTCGGCAATCATCAGTCATATTATTCCATATTATATATATATATATATATATATATATATATATATATATATATATATATATATATATATATATATATATATATATATATATATATATATATATATATATATATATATATATATATATATATATATATATATATATATATATATATATATATATATATATATATATATATATATATTGTCTTTAAAGACAATATGGAAAATAAATGGAAAATGGAAAGCTTTCCATTTTAATTTAAATGAAATAATTTTAAGCCATAATAATGCGATTACTAAATTCTGAAGCTTTTTGTTGTTTTTGTTTGTTGTGATTTTAGTAGTACAATAGTAGTGACTTTTTTTTTTTTCATATTTTGAATTTTATAAATTGTTTATTTATAAGCAATAACATCAATAACATAATAACAGAAGTCATTAAGAAATAATAAGTATATAATATTTTTGCTTTTTTAATTAATCACATTTTGTATTTTTCATAATTTTTTGAACATTTTGAAAATGTAATAAATACTTTTACAAATTTTATTTTAATTAAAATTATCTTAATAAATAAATTTTGAAAAAGTAATAAATGCGTCAATAAAGAACTTAAACGTCATACTAATTTTGTTGACGCGAAACTTTAAAGTTATATTGATTTTGAAAAAAAACTTTTAGGCAAATGCAGACTAGAAGATATCTTTATTTGAGCGTTAAATTCCTTTTGTTTGCGTAACTATAAAAGTTTGGCACGATTAGTTTTGTTATAATAAACATAAAATTGCCTATGAATGTATGTGTGTGTGTGTGTATGTGTGTGTGTGTGTTTATATATATATATATATATATATATATATATATATATATATATATATATATATATATATATATATATATATATATATATATATATATATATATATAGAGAGAGAGAGAGAGAGAGAGAGAGAGAGAAAGGGAGAGAGAGGCACACACATACATCTATTATAAAGTGATTATCTAAAGAGAGAATAATATGATGAGGTTTATGTTATTATTTGTTGATGTTGTTTTTTACATAAATTTCCAGACAAAATAATTTAAATGCACTAGCGTCCGGAAATGTTCATATGGCTTTCCATAATATGAGTATTACAAGTATCTCATGAAAATATTGACTAAAGTTCGCAAACATCCTATATTTATCATAATAGGTGTAACACAACGGAAATCATATTTTGCAATTTAAAAAGTATTCATTGTTAATTATTTAGTGATTTTTATTTTTTATTTAATAAAAAGCGATTTTTTTAAATAATAATTTAAGAATTAAAAATTTTTAAATAAAAGTTATTTATGATAATTTCAAAGTGATGTTGTGCACGTGCTTTTTTGACCCCCGTGAAACAATATCTTTAAGCACTTTTTTATACATATAACGTGATATAAGACATTTAAAAAACTACATGAACTTAAACTATCAACGATAATCTAAATTCCCAGTATAAAATCTATTTTTGTTTTGGAAAGTATATAAAATCAAAGTTATTATTGCTGAGCTACGTGTAAACAGGTCAACAATTTTGCTTAATAATGTGACACAGTATTGCCTATTGTTATTATTATAATTTTTGTAAAATATAATTTAAATTGTTTCTGAATGAAAACTTGCCGGAAGTAAAAATACACAAACAATATGCGATTTTTAAATTCGCTTTTTCTTAAAAATTACTTTTTAAAACTCCAACATTTGTACTCTAGTCGGGGGTAATGAAAAACAGAAAAAACAGCGCTGTTTGGAAAGTTTTTTCTGCTTAAGAAACGTCAATCAAGATTTGCTACTTAAGTCCATGATATGCAAATAAAATAAATGAGCTCTCCAAACATATCATCATTTCAATTAATATTTGGTGAATATCAGTGAATTAGGAAAATATTTTAGGTCTTTAAAAAATATTTGATAAAACCCGTTGCAGAATAATATATTAACTACTTTAGGAATTGGAAATAAATACTTTTTATAACTACTTTTGGAATTGCAAGAACCCTAAATAACAGTGAGTAGTTTATTTTTGTTGGTAAAGTTTTTTTTTAATGAATTTTTTAAATCTAAACTCTATAAATTAAATAAAAAAAGGTCAAAATAAAAATTCTACAATTTATTTTTTATGCCAATAATTTTATTACTTTCCGATTGTTTTTAATAATCCTTATCGGCTTTTTGTTATAGAATATAGTTTAAAAGGTTGTAAGTTAAAAATATTTAAACTCACTTTTATTTGCTAAAATTACTATAAGTTCCAACAATTATAAAAGCGTTTTTGCTAACTTAAATAAAGGCTTTTTTAGAATTAGATTTTGTCTCGATGTTCTAAAAAAAATGTATACAAACAATCAACACCTTTTTTTATATTAGGAATATAGCATTGTGTTCATTATTTTATTAATGACATCTTTAATCTAAATAGTGTCAACAATATTTTTGTCGCCATTATTATTTTTGTTCTTTGTTAGATTTCATACAATAAATCTGTATATTTATATGCATTTATTTGTATTTATGTAATTATTTATACGCACTCTGCGTGCATTTGTACTTCTGTCATAATTTAAGTCAACTTCATATCACTACTTCAATAATAAAGCTAATCTTAATGCAAACAAATCATATTACCACACTTATTTTACCTTCATTAAAAAGGTATCGCAATATTTTGTTTGTTTGTTTGAGTTACAATATTACTTTTTATAGGTAAAAAAAAAATGGTTATCAAAGAAACAATGTCGATACCAGCGTGGGGTTATTTTAATGGACCCATGTGTTCCGTTTCGGAAAATACAGAAGGATCATCAATAGAATCATTTTCCAATCCTAACCATGTTGAAAACAGGCGTAGTCAGTCAATCGACAAAAATGACTTTTATGCAACAACCCCCGTGTTAAATGAGTTTCATAGAACAAGTGTTTCTGAAAATATGGCTCCTCAAGAATATCAAGATTCACGTTCTCCTAACAGAGAAGAATCATCATTTTTCCCATCTTCTGCACTATTTGATCACAATATGCCCCCTATTTCGCATCAATATAACTGCCAAGCTTTTGATGCATTTTTGCCGTCTGGTACATTGCATGCTTCAAATGGTTTTATGCACTTTCCATCAGGAAACTCACAAATGAAAGCAACCTCAGAAATACGAGGCGATATACAACCTCACTTGTTTTTTCCTCAAGCATCAGCACCACTAATAAACGCACAAATTAGTCCGAATTGTCAACGCCATAACATTGGAGAGCCCATAAATATACCGAGCTTATCTTTTCCTGGTGAATTCCGGCCATATCCTCAATTAAACGATATTTTTACAAATGTTAAACAGGACTTTTACATGCAAACTCCACTCTATTCGGGTTATCCGAATTACTGGTTAGTTTGTTTTTTTTAAAAAAGTTTTAGTTTTTAACTGTACTTTATTTATTTTTATTTTATTTATCATTTTGGTTTTATCTTTCACTCTATTGCTGTTCTATTTTTTTATGAAGGTATTTGAGACAATCGACTAACCAGATTCTTACATGCATGTGGATAGATCAATCACCGTTTAGCAAGTCCAAACCATGCAACAAGCAGTACTCTGTTATGCAAGATATTGTGCGTCACATAAATGATGAACATATCACTAGACTGGATAATAACGAGTACGTTTGTTATTGGCAGAATTGCAGCCGAAACCTTTTGCCATTCAAAGCTAAATACAAGCTTGTTAACCATATCCGTGTACACACTGGAGAAAAACCATTTCCGTGTCCGTTTCCGGGATGCGGTAAACTTTTTGCTCGCTCTGAAAATCTCAAAATTCATAAAAGAACTCACACCGGCAAAAGAACAGGTAATATGCTCTAAATATATCTATAATAAAGACTACTCATGAATATATTTGCTCTTTATAAAAATTGTTTACTATCTTAAGAAAGTATAGTTTACAATTTAATTCATTTAAAATGCTAAGCTTAGTTTCTTTTTAATTTAATTGTTTTTAAAAATACAAAAATATTTATAGGAGAAAAACCGTTTGTGTGCGAATATTCCGGCTGCGATAGAAGATTTGCTAACTCTTCTGACAGAAAAAAGCATATGCATGTTCATACGGAAAAAACGTGTAGCTATAGAATTCGTACTAATAAAAAAGAAACTAACGCAACGCCAAAACGAATGAAAATCACAGACGAATTTTCAACGTCTTCTGGTACTATTTATTCCGACCAGTGCAAATCGCAACAAACGGTGGATTATAGCCCTCCGTTAACACCCGTAAGACACAACGATAATTCAATTTTAATGTCTAATTACACATACGATAGTTTAGTTGAAAAAATTCAAAACACAGACAACCTTGAAAAGTCTATTTTATCAAACATGATGGTCAAACAAGAACTAGAAGAACTAAATTTAAACATGATAAGACACTGATGAAAGTATTGATGTCTGATTCGATATATAATCTTCTAAGTTATGTTCTAGGATTTATAAAATACGCTACTATTAAGTGCTAAAAAATAATTTTTAAATTTCAGTTCGCTTAATAATGAGCTTTTAAAGAAATATATTTTTATGTAGAGTAAGGTTTGCAGTTATTTAATTTTAAAATTTCTATAAATATATATATATAAATACTGTTAAATATTTTGTATTTATTGCGCAATTTTTTTAAAGCATGTACAATCCAAAATACATTGTTTTTTTATATGTTACAGCGGACATAACTGTTTTATGCTCTGGTTCTTTGAGTTATACCTTATAAGGTAAAATAGCTATAATTAACCTTTGTACTAATGACATTATTTTAATCTTTATCTCTGCTTGCGGTAAATTTTGGCACGTAGTATTGATACATTTTAAAGTATTTGTTTTTAGGCGCGTTATTTGTTGAATATAGTTAATCCTCTTGTGGCATGACATTAAAGTAAAAAGAGGGGGTTTTAAAATTTAAAAAATGTCTACTTTGTTATAAAAATTTAAAAAATGTATACTTTGTATTTTATTATAGTATTTTAGTAACGGTTTTTATATCAACTACTTATTTTTGGATCGACGGAGTGAATTTAACCACTATTTGTGAAAATATTGCCTAAAAACATTCCTTGTCGGTAAACATACTTACTCAAATATGTAATCAACATGCCGCAAATCATGCAACAACATGCTTTTACACATTAAAAAATGCGCAAGGCGGTGAGTCCATTTTTCTGCAAAAACAACCTTGGTAAAAAGTAGTAAAAAAAAGACCTATCAACTAGACGGCTATATCTAACAGCAGTTAGTTATCTACGTATACACTATTCTCAGTCATAATGTTGATCTGTCAATTAAGCAACTTGCCAAATATGTGTTCTTCTATTTTTAATAATAAAGAATTAAACTAAAGACATACGGCTTTCTGACCTAAAATTATTTCTGACTTTCTAAAAATTATGACTTAATTAATGAACTTATATTTTTTTTAATTGTTAAAAATTAATAAACAATATTTCTTTGAATAATTTATAATGATATCAAAAAGCTTATGACTTCGAAGATTTTATACTCGCAACCCTTAGATTTTTATTTTGCAATAGGTCATTCGAGAAGTAAATTCTTAATAAATATCATGCAGAAATTTATTGACATATCGAGAAAAAGTAATTCCATTAAAATGTTAATCGAGCAATTTATTATTTCATTATTTTTTAATAAAACAATGAAATTTGAGCTTAAAACCATAAAAGGTAAAAAGTTTCAGAAAAGCAAAAATATTGAGTTAAAGGTATGTTTTTTGACTCATAAAAAATATTTCAGAATAATACTAAATTAAATTTACAAATAGAAACAAACAGTATTTTTTGTGTATACTTACAATACTTTCCAGGTTAATGTTAAAGATTTTCATAATTTAATGTTTGCGATAATTATTTTAAATTACCTGAATTAACCTTAAATGTTTTGAAAACAAAAATCGAACTTTATTGTTTTGCAAACAAGAACAAACTTCCTGAACCATGTTGGAATAAAGTTATTTTAAAGAGGAAGCTATCCTAATGTGATGAAAATAGTTTATTTGCTTTAAGTATTAAAAAAAGGAAGATTCCCAGTAGTGATTACATTAAAATTTTGCTTGATCCCCCAACGTGATGAAGAAAATTAAAAAACGATCGTTTTTATAAACTTATTTTAGCATCCGTTTCATATCACGTACCATATTTTTTATTTTACTGACTGAACTTAAGCTTTCATCTTTCATTCTTTGTTTATAGATTTTCTCTTTTTAATAACTTTGATCAACAAAGTATTGAACATTTGGTTGATTATAGTTGTATAGCATATGTTATACAGATTAGAGTAAATTATACAGACTAAAATAAAATTTTTAGCATAAATTTTACAGATTATAGCAATAGTACTACTTATTTCAGAAGCCTCTCTGCAAGAATATAAACTGCAGAGAGCTTGCTCTTTCTTTTACGATAGTTTTTAAATACGAAATATTTTAATATAATTATTAAGTGCGTTTATTACATTTCACTTTACGAACTTTGTTTTAAAAAATATTTGTTTATGGTTGTTCCATAAACTCGTCAGTTTCGGGTTTGATAACATATAGTTATTTTGAATGTCAGAGGGTCATACCTAGAACCTCTGTAACAAAATCAATAAAGAGTCCCTTCTTTTTGTTATTAAATAATTTAGGCACTTTATTAAGTTTCTCGTATATTATTTCGTTTTTATTGCGACTGAGACAGAAATGGCAAACAAACTTTGTGAGACGGGTGTGTGCTGTATAAAACCTTAATTTTTTTTGTAATTTGGTTACTTATGTAAATATTATAAATTTTGTTAAACCTTTTAAATATTAGTTTACTTAAATCTGAACGGTTAAACGTCACATTTTATGCACTAATCAGATCTACAATAATGTGAGTATTAATGTGAATATGGGTTTGCAAAGCAGAAACAACACCTTCTAAACAAATAAACACCGTTTATTATTAAAAAAACATTTTATTAAATAGTTATGCTAATTATTAAATAATTAGTATAATTATTTAATAATTAGTGTAACTATTTAATAATTAGTATAATTATTTAATAATTAGTATAATTTTTTAATAAAGTGTGTGTCCACCCTTATTTGACACAGAAAAGGAGTTTTTGTGAAGGGTATTTTTACAAAAATCAGGCACTTTTTTTCATATTTTTAACAAAGAATGTTACGGTAAAGTGTGTTGTTTTTTACTTGTTTTTATAAAACTTTAAAAGTAAGGGGAGTTCATTTTTGTGGGGAATTTTATAGGGAATCTAAATCTGAAAAAGTAAATAAAAATAAAATATGTCTTGTTTGGGGGAACGCTAAGTTTTCAACAAAAAAATTACTAAAATATGAATATATAAAGAGAAAAAATTATAAATTAAAAAAAAAAAATTTCTTTAATTATTTGAAATTTTTTTTTTTGCACATATTTACATTAATTCGCGCACTACTGTACAGGGCCGCCGAGAGCTGTCACGCCGCCTGGGACAGCAATCCTGATTGACGCCCTTATTTATTAAACTTTCCCTATATTACATATGAAGGACCTTTTTTTTTTTTTTTTGGCACCAATATTTCATTTGGGCTCCTTGGATATCTGCCGTCCGGGACAAATTGTCCCTCTTGGCGGCACTGCTACTGTGTATGTACATGAGTATACTACTTAGTACATGAATATCAAAGTTATGTAATTAAAAAATGTTTTATTGGTGTATGAATGTTTTTAATAGGATAAATAAAAAGCGTTTAATTTAAGTTATTTTACGTAGAGTAAAAAAAAAAAAACATTTGCTATTATATAATATTAAATATAAATATAATGTTATATAAAAAATTAAATGTAAATATAATATAGAATATAAATATTATTAATAATACTACTACATAATATTAAAAGTCTTTACACCATATAAATACAGACAGTTATACAGGGGGTTTTATGGCTAAAATCAATTTCAGTCCAAATGTGCCTGGCTGTCTAAATGTGCCAACTTTCTTATCTAAAGGGTTTACATTTGCCGACTGACTTTCATGTCTATTCGGCAATCATCATTCTTTGAATGGAAAATCAAAAACAAAAATCCTGCTCAAATTTACAAAATACTGTGTGTGGGATATTTACGTCGCTAAAAGACATACATGATGGCAACCAAAGAAAAACAAAAGACTAGCTAATCACCGGTGATTAGCTAAAAAAGATAAGAGAAATTTATTCTTGTGCTTGCATTTTGAGATCAACTCGTTTCGTTTATTTAACAAATTTCTACCTTTATATGTTAAAATGAAGAATTTTCATATAAGCAAAAATTTGATTTTTGACGAGTGTAAACATTTTGTCTTTTATGTCCCAAATTCCTTCAGACTACTTAGTATCATTTTTATATTTATTAATGCTAAAAGATTTTAGGTGATTAGCATACCGAGATTTAAATTGAGTTTCACATAAGCCAAAATATAGTAGTCAGGTTTATTTGACGACCCTTTAGCTTGATAAACGATGTTCTTTATCAAGTGTTGATTGTTCATGGACCAGATGGATTTGTTGACAGAGTTGCATGCTTTTCCCTCAGCTGTACCTTGGTTGTAAAATATCCTGTGCATGGGTGAATTAACCGGAAAGTCAGGTCTACCATGCTCAAAAAACGACTACCTAATTTTTTGCAACATTGGTACTGAAGGGTGGGTTGTATGATAGCATGCAAAACATGCAAAAGCATGCAACTCTGTTAAGAAATCCATCTGCTCCATGAACAATCAGTGCTTGATGAAGAACATCGTTTATCAAGAAAATGTTTTCAAACTTTTTCATTAGGAACGTTATTGGCTAAATCTGATTTAATTGAGAAGATCATCAAGTTGCATAATTGCTCCTGGCCCATTGTGAAACGAAGATAATCTTTAATAAAAGCTAACTTCCTGAAAGATTTTTCACCTTCAGATATTAAAATGGGCAATGTTACACTTGTGGAAAATATTAAACGCAACTTCTTTGCATAAACTTCATATAGAAGTTCGACAGGCTTTTCGCTGGCTAGAATATTTCTTCTTAGGGGAAAAAATGCCGAACTTTATCAGAAAATTAGTTTTAACATAAGTTTTCTGGGTAAAGTTTAGATTCTCAACTTTTAAACCATCAATGTCATTAATGTCATTGACAAGAAAAGGTTTGTCGGATCTGGCAACTCATTAGAGTCATTGTTACCGATCTCTATATCATAGAACTAGAAAGAAATATCGGTATAAATTATTATTTTAATTACTCTTATATGGGTGTCACAAGATTTAAAAATAGTTTAACTACCTGCTTGCATTTATCGTCAATAATCTATAAGCGTTCGTTTGTTTTTGCTTTCGTTTTCTTTCCGAATCATCGCTCTCAGCTTTCTCCCAGCAGCTCCAGACAACTGGTTCAATCATGGAGGTCTTTGATTATTCATGCTAAAACTCAT